TTCTCTTTCGAGCTTATTCTATTTATCATGTCATTTACCTTTTTTGATATAATTCTCTCAGTCCACCCCCCCCACCCTATACTCTTATGAACATTTCCATTTGAAGGTTTAAGAAAAAATTACTCTTTCAAAAAAAATAAACTTGGATTAGAAAAAATATATAAACGTATAAGATTATAAACAGTATGATACTTCATACTCGTACACACACACGTGTCATTGATTGCTTATTATCAAATAATTAATTTCTTTAAAATATATATGAATCCACAAAAGATGATACTTTAATGACCACCTATAACTTCTAAAATTTAACTTTTTTTCTGGTTAAATTCAGGTGTCTTTAAATGGTGTACTTGAATGTTTTACTGTAGGATTGAAAATAAGAAGTTTAAAGTTGCAGAAACAAAAACTTAAAATTAATAAAATCTGAAACACAGACAGTCGTCTCTGAAGTCTCAGTTTGTGTGTTTACAATAATGATAGAATGTGTTCAGTGTTAATAATGTTTGTTTCATTGATTGTGGAGGTGTGTTTGTGTGTGTGTGAGTGTGTGTGTGTGTGTGTGTGTGAGGTAAATATTAACCAGAAAAGGTGGACAAATTTCTATCCCTCTTCATGTAGGGAGGGGGGATGGGCAAAACTTTGAGTGATTTACCATTAGAAATATTCCGCCAAAATTCTTCTTACTCCCCTTCCTTCCGGTCCTTAGGCAACATCCCATACATTCCCCTTATACTCAATTTGCAATCCCCCCTTTCCTCTGCAAAAATGTTGCGAAATATAGGTTTCCTGCTAATTAATTTTGGATTAAAATAGTTCTGCCCCATTTTCGAGAGTAAAAAATTGGTTTTAATTATTTAAGTAACTTATCATAACTTAAAATTTCGTTAAATTTGGTTGATTAAAAATATTACTTCCGGTTCAAACAAACCGATAGATGAATATATATAAATAGATATATATTTACAGATGAATTTATTATATCATTAACTCTGTTTATCAATGGGTTAACAACTGAGCGCACGCGCCGCGTTCTGTTATGATGTTACAATTAAAAATGAAAAATTATGTTTTTCAACCTGTCAAACTTTTAGGGGGTCATAGAACCTTTTAAAACTTCATCTTTTTCTTTGAAAAATAATCTTAAAGAAAGGAATTGAGTCTTTGCCACAAACTCTGATTTTTTCATGCCTATATCATTGCAATCCAATGTCATAGAACTTAGATGAAATAATGTTAGTTTGAAATATGAAAGGAGTACGCCCTCAGGAAGCGAAGATATAGGGATTAGAAAATTTAAGTTTGTGGCAAAGACCCAATTCCTTTACGTTTCTAAATTTTTTTTAAGGTGTTAATTATATTCTTAATTAGCGCAATGCAGAATATTACATATCATGAGTTTAATAATTCGAACCAGATGATATATCTTATTCATTCCCCTTAAAATGTAAATCTGGAAAATTATAATAAATAAAACTTTCAAATCAATATGATGATGATTCTTGGGATTGATAGGAGGATAAAAAATGAAGATATCTTTGCTATTATTTCTTTTATAAAGTTGTAAAGTTTCAAGTGTTTCTCCATTATGTCAGATTCACAAACTAAGGTACCATTTAAACCTTTGTCCACTCAAGGATAAGTGAAATATCCTGCTTTATAAAGCTGAAAATTAATAATTTTCAATTGTAGTTTCTGCTGCAGAGTCAATGAAGGAACTTGTCAGATTTGGACACTTTTTTGTTCTGCCTAGTTACTCGCAGGTCTAAGCACTGACACTAACTAGAGCAAGCTGTATTAAGTACAGATACAAGCTTTATAGTAAATAAGTCAAAACAGCTTCTAGAGAGATTCTAGTATAAAGGGCACCGTTTCAAATCGAACATGCCATTCTATAAACAAAGGTTCATTTGAAATTACTTGTACAGTCCCTTTAAATTAAGATTAAGTAGGCTTAATAAATTACGTCAATTAAGTAGCACAATGATTTCTTACTTAAATCAATTTTTACCAAACATTAATAACAAATTCTAAAGCATTATTTTGTATATTAGGAGTATATTAGTTGTATATTTTTGTAAACTATCCTTTTGTTGTGTATATTCATTGCATATTAGTAGCATATCATCAGTTGTTTATTGAAAAACATCAAACTGATATATCTTATTATTCTCTTTCGAGCTTATTCTATTTATCATGTGCAGTGTGCACTGTGCACAGCAATTTGTAAATATATGTTTATTATTTTTTACAATTTGAACCAGCTAGCTAGTTAATCTAAACAAATTTTATGTTTTCAAAATCAAAATTGATAAGTAAAGCTTGCAGCAAAAGGCGAGTCAGGGCCTCAAATATTTGCTATTCATGAAGGAATTTCTCTGAAAAAAAAATTATGTCATTTAGGAAAAAATTTGAAATTGAATTTAATATTTTTAAACCTGAAATATGTTGGTGATGTCTTTTTTAGCATTATCCAAATCTTCTTTGGTAACCTAGGAAAAAATAATTTTTTAGATTTTTGGAAGTTCGGACTTCAACCTAAATTATTTGTACCTCATTTTCTTTACTGTCCTCCACCATGTTCAGATATCGTTTACAGAGATGACTAACCAGTTCATCGATTTTTTCCCTACAACATTACCAGTTTTAACAACAAAAAATGCAACAAAACAAAACATCTAACCTTTGGGGCTCTTTCCTTCCAATTTCAGAATTTCTTCTTCCCATGAAATTTCTGTAGATTGTAGAAATAATGTGGATTGTTAATTCTATCAGATTAAAAGGTATTGGCAGCACTAGTTGCTTGTCAAAGTACTTCAGCCAAATTTCAGTACGGGCAAATTTCCATTGCTCTATCTTTTCCTGTTGAATGCTAGCCATGGTAGCATTCATCATTGCAATCAGGATATTGAGAAGAATAATGACAATGATGAATTGGAACAACCCCCACATGGCCATCCCCAAGTATCTAGGAAATCCTGTAGAACAGCCCATAATGCCAGGATGACCCGGTTCATACAAACTCCACAAGGCTGCTTTAAAAGTAGCCCGAAGACCGGTCACATTGGTGAATGTGGTGTCAGCATCATATGCACCTGGGGGATCCTCATTCAAACAAGGTTCATTCCGAGTCAACTCTAGAATAAAAGATAATCCAAGTGTAAAAGATACTAGGAATATCAAATATGCAAAGGTAAGAAGAATAACATCTCTGTAAATGCTCTTGATGGAAATTATCAACGGTCCAATGCTATGGATAAGTTGGCTATAGTGTAGGATCCGCAAAGTTCCCATAACTATTCCGACACCTAAAAGTCCATACCCGTATATAACCGGGGATTTCCATTTGTCAAACAGAGCAGGATCGTCAGCAGTGCAACCTTCCAATATGGCCATCCCTTTAAAGTCATGGTTTTGTTTCATGCACTCAATAACAAATCCCAAAGTTTTCATCAAGGCCCCAATGAAGATAACTGCATGGGAAAATAAGGCATACCAAAGACTGTCCTTCCTTGATTTCAGTTTGGAGTGAAAGATCAACAAGTTGATATCTTCACAAAGGAAGGCAAAAGTATAAATTGGTAGAAGGTAGTCATAGAAGTCAACATCCACAGTTCCTTTTACATCCAGCGGGTTTAAGATGACTAAAATCATAAGAGCAAGATAAACTGTGCTTGACATCATACTGGCTATGAAACGATTCATTGGTACAGTAAAGAAGGTGATAATAGGCTTCAGCGTGTTCGGGATTCCATTATATCTAGGCTTGTCTCCAGGCTCAAATCTCTCAAGATCATGATAACCATATACAGTGCACAGAACAACAAATGCCAAAATACTGAAAGGCAGAAGAATAATGCTTTTCAAGACATACAGAATTTTGTCCAAAACATTTGCGTTTGACCAAGGAAGAACATCACCTATAAATATGTAGATATTTATCACTGAATGAACCACAATTATGGATTAAAATGTTGAGAATTATATAAAGTAAAATGTACCGGTAAGATCCGAACGAAGCCAACAAGTCCGAAGCGCTTGTTGACAATAATCATGTGCAACAAAACTCATGTGAACATCGGCAACCGCCATCTGAAGGCGAGGGTACTGAAGCATCTGAGATGCCTAAACTATCCCTTGTTAATTCTTAAGTGGCTTTACCTTTGAGTAGAAGTAAAAATCTACAAAAAAAATCAATACTTGAATTAAAAAAGTTTAAAAGCAAAACCTCAGGTTTGAAGTAGTGATTAAGTTTGTTATCAGTAGTTAGTAAACTGACTGCTTCCTCAGAATTTTTGCAGAGATCTAACATTTTCACTACAAATGATTTCCCTTCATCTTCAACCATTCTGAACTACAAATAGAGGTAAAAAAGGTTATAAATAAAACTAAAAAATAAAACTATCACCTTGTTCTCATATTCAACAAACTGCTTGCGTCTACTGCGCGCTATGTGGACATTATGAAAGGCTTCTGATATCGGGTCATTTTTATTCAAATCAACCATCTGTAAAATAAAGAGAAATTAGATTTTTATTTTCAATTTGTGGTTTGGGAGCTAGCTACCTTGTTTTCCAAGTTGATGAGAAACTCAGCAATCATATACGCTGGTTTGGAGGTGGCGTAAAAATTCTGAAATTAGAATTCGTTTTTTTTAATAACTATATTTTTGAACACTATAATTTTTATTCAAAGTGCGTTAAAATTTTGGGACAGAATGCTTTAATGAAATTGAGCAGGAACTGAGCATGAATGATAAAGTGCACAATAGTTTTATAAAAATTATTTTATGATAACCACAATAACCTTAAAGAGGTTAAGTGTGTCATTAAGATCTTCGTCCTCGGTGTTCAAGCATAAGTTAAATTTCTTCCATTTGTTTACTATAAAAAAAAATAGTTTTTATTATATTTGTATATTTATTATTATATATATATATATACATATATATAAACTAAGTTAAGCTATTATTAGACAGCCTCTCTTTGTTATGTTTACATGTTTTAATGCTGTTTAAAAGCATGGTAGAAATCAAAAATTAAAATCAAAAGTCGTCTTCATTGTATTGATACATACGATGATGACTTTTTTTAAAGCTTTACCTTTGATAACTGTTTCATAGGGTTTAAAAGTTTGGTGCATTCCTATAATTTGCAAACTGATTATTACTTACAAAGGGTAAAACTTTTAAGTACAGTGATAACCAGAAAACTCTGAATTAGTCAGACGAATTTTTAGCAATACTTCAGTGAATTTGATGGACTTACAAAGCACTTGTTAAATCACTAATTAAGTAAAATGGGTCCATATACTATGCACAAGTGCTTTTTCCCTTGCTTATTGGACTATTTAAAGTCATAACTTGAGCCTAAAAATCGTTTTCATATTTCAGAGTTTTCTGGTTTATCACTGTAAATTTTAGAAATCTTTTAAAAATAATCTAAAGGCTTAATTCCTGAAAGTTCGCATAGCTTGAAGTGATGATCATCAATATCAAATCCATAATCAAGAAACGAATAAACCATTTCAAACACATCCTGTAAGAAAATATCATGAAAAAGATCATTTTTTAAAATAATGTTGTTTTTGTAAAAATTTTCGTTTCGTTCAACCAAATTCGTTTTTAATTTTTAATGATCAAAAACGATGACTTTTAGTTAAAACTCAAATTTTTTAGCGACATTTTTTCAAACTCGATAGTTTTTTCTTTTAAACGAAACGAAAAGCGATCGTTTTAAAAAACGATTAACAACCTCACATTTTATAAAATAGAATTTTGATTATTAATAAAACTATTATTTTGGTTCGCAATGCTATATAATTAAACGTCGTGGGACCGATATTTCCTCCTGATCGAGAAGGTATCATGATTGTATTTTGTCGCAAGCTTCAGTTGACCTGACCTAACCTCAAATCAAAGATTTAATGATTATTTTGCCTAAAGTTTCAAAATTAAAACTTTCTATTTCTGAAATATATACTTTTCACCTTTTCACAAGCTCGAATCAGGGCTGCATTATTCTTCCTAGAATACAGTTATTTAAAAGCTGTAAATATTAAGTTTAAAGTTTTTTTGTAAAAAATTTTAAAAAATTGTCACTTGAAACCACTTTCCGACCCACTATCAAACATTTGCTGATTTTCCCAATTCTGAAATAATCAAATTATTATGACAATGATAATGGTCCTATTGGATTTATAGAAAAGCAAAAACAAAAGATTCAAAATCAATTGTTAAGTTTTCATAAATAACCGACATATTCTTGTTTTATTTGATTTGGTCAGCTTTTGACTGATTAAAAAAAGGAATACAGTGACAACCAGAAAATTGTGAACTAGGAAGACGACTTTAAAGCAATACTTTAAGTAAGAAGTGTTTTTGATGTTGTTACACAGCAAAGAGTTTTACTACAGTGATAACCAGAAAACAATAGAATAGAAAGACGACATTTTAGCAATACTTAAGTGTTTTGATGTTGTTACAAAGCAAATATTTTTACTAGTAATTTAGCAAAGCACAATATAAGTAATAAGGGTCTATTTACACTGTACAATTGCTATGTCTAATGTTCATTGAACTAGTTTTAGTCCAAACTTGAGTTTAAAAATCGTTTTCCTATTTCATAGTTTTCTGGTTATCACTGACCATGTGTGTTTAGATCTTTTTTGTTTGTTCAGTGAGACCAACGAAACTGTGGAATAGAAAGACGACTGTTAGATTTAAAATTTTAGTTGATTTTAAACAGTTTAATTCATATTAAACAAAGCAATTGTGCAGTGTACACAGACAAATTTTACTTAAACATGGGAGATCTCTAGGACACGGGTAACAGTACATTAAGTGCTAACAATTTTGCTTAAATGTCGCCTAATTATTCTAATTAGTATAATGGGTCTCACTGTGACTGTATTGACCAAAAACCAGTTTTTAAGAGAATTATCTCTCCTACCTTCATAACATTTTTAAACTAGATAATTATCTCTCCTACCTTCATAACATTTTTAAACTAGATAATTATCTCTCCTACCTTCATAACATTTTTAAACTAGATAATTATCTCTCCTATCTTCATAACATTTTTAAACTAGATAATTATCTCTCCTTCCTTCAAAACATTTTTAAACTAGAGAATTATCTCTCCTACCTTCATAACATTTTTAAACTTGTCCAGATTTGAAATCTCAAATTTAATCCAGTGAAGAATAAGTCTCAGGGCTTCAGTTTGTTCACTCTCAACACATTCTAGAATATTCCAAGAGGGGAAATTTATAAAATATTTTTTGGTCAAATAGTAAGATATGCCATATGTAACTCTACATCCATTTATTATGGGTTTTGAAAACTGTAGTTTTTAGATCTGTAGCTTTTACCGTCCTGTATCCTACCCAAGCATAAAAACAATTGAAAATCCTTTAAATTACTACTCCCAGAAAGTCAAAAAATGTCTGAGGCAAAAAACAAGGGGGGGGGGGAT